TAATATAACATACTATAATATAATAATATATTTGAAGTTATAAATTACAGTATACCAAGAGAAGAGGGAGCTCGTTAAAAAGTGATACTGCAACCCTGAAGGCCAAGGGTTCAAGGTCGCAGGAGAAGGATGGACAATCTTCTCCCGTGTAATTAACTGCCTCTGGAAACCTGCCAGAGGGTCAGCTATGCGTCAGTTCCGACCCGATGTTATACAACAACAACAACAATATACCAAGAAAGAAGACCTCAAACAAGACGGTTGACACAGTGACTGTAACAGTGATATCCAGCATATCAGAGATTATGAGGTTGGCGCAGGACGGGGCTTCAGGTCTTCTGTCGCTGAGTAGACTTGATGGCATCTAACAATAACCACACGTTGGACTAAAGAAGTCTTGGTGGTGTTGTGTGCCAGATTGCTAACCAAAAGGTCAGTGGTTCAAATCTACCAGCTGCTCCATGGGAGAAAAATCTCCTCTTATAAAGATTTCTAGCCTGTGAGTGTGTCGGAGATGTTGAGGACGCCACAGGACGGGACAGGGTTCAGCTCTGTTATTAAGAGAGTTGCTCTGAGTCGTGTGTATGCCTCTAACAACAGCAATGATAGCAGTGAGTTCAGATGGATTTTGGTTAAACTGCACCAACTTATATTCTCGTGTTTTAGAGCAGGATGGAAGCCTCTATTTGGCATGATGGTCAAGGAATTGAACAGAGCTCAGACCCACTTCAGGAACTTCCACCTGAAAAAGTGCACACTTGTAAGCTGGGTATGTGACTGAACACCCACAAGAAATCACTAAGCTCAGTCCCACGTTTACCACATTTCGTTAGAAGCTCCTGTGTCTTGGCACCATTTTTAGTGGCAGGAGACTCTGGACCTCATGTCCGTCAGTCTAAAACTTCACTGCGTTCACATTGATTTAGTAATTCTCCCCCTTGTCTTGGTAAAAGACAAAAATGATAAATTGTGACTATTATCTTGCACACCCTCCTCTGGTAAATTTTATATCCTATCAGGCAGGGGAGCTTGAAATGGTACAAGTTCCTGTACAAAATCTTTGCCCAAAACTCGGCCTACCTAGCAGTTTCATTTTGCTATAAAACAATCTTCCTTTCAAGCGTGCCTGACACAGAGTAATGGAATTATGACTGAGTAAACTCCCTGCCAGGAGCAATTCAAAACACCGGCCCCCCCTCTGAGCCATCTCTGAGGCAGGGCCGCACGTGGGGGACGCACCGTGTCCACAGACCATGCTCCATGTGTACTTTGGCGAGGGAAAGATGGCCCAGGCAGAGAGCCAAAGACACACGCAGCGAAGAGCTGAAACCTTCGTGTAAATAAGCCGGAGGAACAAGGATACCGGGGCAGAAGGACACAGTTACCGTTTAACCTCTCCACATCTTTGGATACGCTGAAAATTTCCCTTGCTTGTGTGTGTGTGTGTGTGTGTGTGTGTGTGTGTGTGTGTGTAGAACAAGAAACCCCTGGTTGAAAGGCAAAATATAGTTTTCGTTGTTGTGTACCATCGAGCCAGAACCAACTCCTAGTTCACCCTGCAGTGGGTTTGAGAAGCAGTGAATTGCACAGAGGGAGATCGCCCACCTTTCTCTAATCACATGCCTTTGACTTGACAGTTCCACTTCTCTTACCACTATGGCACCAAAATGCCCTACAAAGCAAAGGGGTTCCCCCCCCCCAATTTTGACAAATCTAAACACCTTCTCTAGAAACTCCATGCACCCTGAACCCCTCCCTGCCTTCATTTGCTGGCACCACAGACTGGCATTCTCCCTTGGGGGTGTCTTCATCCCTTTTCTTGTCCTCTGAGCCCCCATGGGGCAGGGCAAGCATTCTTCTCCTATTATCTTACACCCTTCTTTGTCTGAAGTCAATAACTCATGGTAGCAGGCACCTTGCATTGGGGAAGTCTGCGGTCAAGGCTCTCTTTAAAGGGCGAATGAGCAAGGGCACGAGTTCAAAGGATGGGCCTGAGCCAGGTCGCCACCGCAGTGTTTTCAGTTGCTTGCTACGCATCTGAGAGGCCAAAGAAGCACTGAGGCCTTTGAGCAGTGGCGCTGGAGAAGAGCACTGAGCACCCCACAAAGAACACACACGTCTGTCTTGGAAGAAGCACCACCAGAGTGTTCCTTAGAGGGAGCAGGGGAAACTTCATCTCACGCTGGGCATGTTGTCAGCAGGACTCAGTTCTTAGAAAAAGGCGTTGTGCTGGGAAAGGTGGAGGGTCGGGGAGAGAGGAGGGCCCCTGACTCTGAGCTCAGCGGGAGCACAGAGGGAGCAGGGTCGGGTTCTGTTCTGTTGTTCCCAGGGGCATTGTGGGCCAATCAGAGGGCACCTAACAACACCAGCAGTCTGAAGTCCCATCTGGACTCCATCCTGACCGCTGAGGGCTTTGTTTCTCCTGCCCCAAACCCCTCCAGAGATTACTTCCCCGTAATCAGGGCCCATGTCATCTCCTCCAGACTCACCCCTCTAAACCCTTTCCCATCCATCCTCTAGACCTTGGTTGTTCTCTTTCTTCTCCCCTCGTCCAGCTCATTCCCCTCCCACTCACTTCCTCTTGCTGTTTCCTAGCCAGGAATGCCTTCTCCCCTTCTCCTGGGGCTTAAAGGAGCGCAAGGACGCTCCTCCCAGGCCACATTCTCTAAGGTGTCGTCCCACTCTATTCATCAACTAGGAATCAACCCGTAGCTGACCCTCCAGTGGGTTTTCAGAGACAATAAATCGCACAGAAGGAGATTGCCCATCTTTCTTCCACAGAATCACTGGTGGATTTGAAGGGGGTACCTTTGGGTTGGCAGTGCAGTTCCTTGCCACTAGGTCACCAGAGCTCCCTCCCGTGGGTTTTGAGGGGCAATAAATCACACAGGAGGAGATTGCCCATCTTTTTCCTCCACAGAGCAGCTGGTGGATTCAAAGCGCAGACCTCTGCGCTGGCAGCACAATTTCTTATCGCTTAGCCACCAGAGCTCTCTCTACTAACATAGCACCCATCTAATGCTGCTCAGTTAAGTGGTGCCTCTGCTCAGGTTTTCTTCTAGTCTCAGCGGTGTTTATCTCATTTATCCAATAAGTGCAAGGGCCCCTCTCCACAGTGCCTGGATGCTGAAAGGTCTGGGTAGAACTCTGACAATTCAGAGGAAGGGGTACTGATAACTGCTAGTTCTAGGGGTGGAGGGAAGGTTCGCCAAAAAGGGAACTGAAGCACAGAAGGAGACCGTTTTTACTGCAGGTATTATGTTGTTGTTGTTGTTGTTTTATTGTTGTTAAGTGCTGTCGAGTTGCACACGACTCATAGTGACCCTATGAATGAAAGACCTGAACACTTGTATAACTTTCATCATTTCTCCACGTTCATAGAGTTTCCGGAGGCTGAAGCAATATGGTCAGAGATCGAGACAGAGGTTAGAGTCACACGACAAATGGCACATAGTGAGCTTGGCTCCGGTGCAGAATGCATAAAGGAATTCAGTGAGGTCCCATGGTTACTTATCAACAGTGTGCCCGTCGCCAGGGGACACTTTGGGCAATGCAGTGCTGCGATGAGGAGGGGGTGACTCTAGCAAGACCAGGGATGCTAAACCTCCCCCAACACACAGAAAAGCCCTGTACCACGATTACACACACCACACACACACACACACACACACACACACACACACACGTCCTCTGCACGGAGCACCTTGCAGTCCAGCCCAAGGACTTTATTCACCTCCGGAGAACATCTCAAATGTTCTTCCTTCACCTGGAAGGAGCGTATGGTGGCTGGATTACTTTTCGTGAATTCGCCCTCCAACTACCAAGTTCCATGGGGGAAGAACACTTCCTTCTCCACTGACGTTGGCTGGATGGCTTGTCCGAGGTCATGGGAAATTAGCAAACACAAGGCAGCAGAGGCCTCAAAGTGCTTGGGCAGCTGGGGCCCCTCTTGTGCCTCCACCATCACCAAGGAAAAAGCGTCCTGGGATGTGGATCATCAGAGCCGAGCCCAGACCAGCCAACCCCCAGGCAAACCTCAAATGCATAAATAACCCGGTCAAGACCATCGATGCCATTCACTGGAGCCCAGCAAAGACTGACCAACCCCCCAGCAATTGGTGAAAAGAAATCCTTCTCCTCAGGTCCTGAATTTTGGAAGGATTTGTGTGCCTGAGACAACCTCATGCCTTCTCTTTTCTGGTCCCTGGTGCCAGCACCCCAGTACTAGGGATCCAGCATGCCCCTTCTCGGATCTGACACTGAGACCCCTCCAAAACCTGCGTGTCCCACAGGCCAAACTCACCTGGTGCAAACTCCTCACTGCCCTGTATCCTGAACTCAGACGTCTTGGTCTCTTGGATAAGCAACCGCATGTCCTGGAGCAGCAGGGGGGCTCGGCCTTCCCGCATCTCATACACCAGGGATGGGCTCCCCATGGCCTCCAGCTCATGCCTGTCAAAGCTCTGCATGCCCACAGACATGACTTTCACACCTTTCTCCCTCAGCGCTTGCGCAGCCTCCTGGAAGGCGTCCGCAGACCTGCCCGAGGTCATGACCACCGCGTACTGGGGGACGCCCTGGAGGAAGCGGCTCCCAGCTGCCTCCTGGAAGAAGACCTGACGAAGGTACCGCAGGGCCTGGCCTGTCCTCCTGGTGCCACCCCGGGGCCTGAACCGCTCCCGGATGTGCGCAAGCACCTCGCTCTGCGTCTGGTGGGTATTGAGCAAAAACTCGGTGTGTCCTTGGTCGCCGTACTGAGCCAGGCCGATCTGGTACCTGTCCTTGCCAACCTCCAGCATGCCGACCACTCTGGAGATGAACTTCTTCATCCACTGGAAGCTGGCGGGCGACGTGTCCTGAGAGGTGTCGGTGAGAAAGACCACGTCTGCAGAGGGCTTGCTGGATTCTGGAGTAGACAGAGGAGGGCCGAGAAGACAGAGGGGCAAAGTCAGTCAAGCGGTCACCAACACAAGGCTGCTGAGTCAGAACAGAGGCTCAGCCTGGAAAATGCCATCACTGCCATCGACCAGCAGGTCCACAAGCAAGTGAAAAACCTGAAGGCCGTGTTTTGTGTGCACTGTGGGCTGCAGAGGTGCTTGGTGCGACACTGCGCATCCGGAAGCCAGCTTCGTGGTGCAGTAGGGTAATCGTCAGACTGGGATCTGAAAGGTGGGAAGTTTGAACTCACCAGCCGCCCTGCAGGATAAAGATGGATCATCACCTCCCACAAAAGTGTAAAGCTTTGGGGACCTGATGAAGGGTCGCTGTGAGTCAGAAACGACCCAACAGCAATAAATTGGGAGGGTGCATATCATTGTTTCATAGACTCTTCAAGTCTATGAAGTCAAGATAAACTTCCTGCATTTTTTACAGCCTAATTTTATATGGACTAAAGAATGTTCAACCAGAAAAAGAATAAACATAACATTTACCAAATGATTCCTTTGTGTTAGAACTTTTCATGCATTTTGTCTGGTTCTATCTTCATAAATCACTCTAGAAGGGAAGTGTCATTATCTTCCCTGTGCAGATCACAAAAGGGGGGAGAGTACTGAATATCTCATGGACCATCAAAAGAACAGACCAGTCTGTCTTGAAGGAAATGCAACCAGGATGCTCCTTGAGGCAAAAATGGTGAAATTTTGTCTCTCGTATTTAGGGCATGTTGTCAAGAGAGTCCAGTCCTCCAAAGAAGACATCATGCTGGTAAAGGGGGAAGTTCACCGGAGGAGAGGAAGACCCTTCACAAGGTGAATTGAACAGTGACTGTAACAGCAGGAGATGGTGCAGATGGCTCAGGATAGGTCAGGGTCCAGGTCGGTTGTTGGCCGGGCTTCTGTGAGTCACCGATGGCTCGATGGTGCCGACACAGAGTCCATGTGCTTCCGGTAGACCACACCGTGAGATGCGCTCCTCTTCGTTCCCACCCGTGTGAACTCCAGTCACCTTTCAATCCCTGGCACAAAGACCCCTTCCTCCTGGAAGTTTCTCCAATTGCTTCATCGATCGTTGGCACTCCAGCTTCCCTACACAGTCTATCCAATTTATTCTGGCTTATCTTCTAGTTAGGTGAGGGTGGCTATGAGCCCTTCCTGGATAGGAGCTGCTATCTTGAGTCCCTGCACCATCCCAGATGATAATTTAGATGTAAGAGTTGACTGAATTCAATTACTGAATCTTGAGCAGATACGTTCAAGAATAAAGACATTGACTATATAATGGAATAAGGTTTATAATGCAAGTTATAGGGTCAATTTGTTGTTATTGTTGATTGCTGTCAAGTTGAGCATGACTCATAGCGACCCAATGAACAAAAGGCCTGAAGCCCCTCTACAACTATCAACATGTATCGAAGTTCATAGAATTTCCGGAGGCATGTTGTTTAGGAAGTGGGTGCCAACTCCTGTCAAAATATTTCTTATTTCACCAATGGAAGCCACTTGAGTTGAGTAAGTGGCTCAAAAGCCGTTTTCAAGAACCATGTAATTGCTATCATTTTACGTTGGCAACGCGAGCGTTCTCAGGGACTGGCTCAACAGGCCGGCTGCCCACTGCCCACCAACAAGCTCAAGGGGAGGTAGGTGGTTCATAACGAGGCATCTGATATTCTGCTTCCAGAGTTTCTTCAAATTTTCAAACATACGTGAAAGAAAAACTGTATCCACCAGAATCTAAAACACAAGCTCAGGCATGCCAGGGAAGGGTCTCAGCATGTGATTCTCTATCAGAAAGGAGGGAATTTTTAGAACTGAAGAAGTGGAAAAGCAACAGGCAAGCTTTAGGCGGCTTATTAAAATCACCATGTACCACTCTTGCTGAGCTAGTTTATGGGAAAAACACAACAAAACGAGGGTACCCAGAAGTCTCTGAGCATTCCCAGCATGTCATGTCTCTCTGGACACAGCGCACCACATACCAGACACTGGAAAACCTCTATCATCTCTGTCTCTCACGACCCAGAATTATCTTGCTGTTCGTGTTTTGTATCTTCAGGGCTTAGCGAAAAGCCTGGTAGATAACAAGTGTACAATAAATGCCTGAGAGATTCAGCTGATGGTTACCAGAACATCAGCAGATTACCAGCGAAAACGAGTATCTTTAATGTTTATCTTCTGGTAACCTCGTGGTAAGGAGCTGCATTGCCAACCGAAAGACACATAGTTCTAATCCGCCAGCGGCTCTGAGGGAGAAAGATGGGTAATCTTCTCCTCTGCGATTTATCGCCTCTGAAAACCCACCAGAGGGTGGTGAGTTTCAGGTCAGTTCTGACTCGACGTACATCACAACAACAATAACATTTATAGACATGGTTATTTGCTTTTATTTTCTCTTTTCATCATTGGGATTAAATTTATGACAAAATAAAAAATTTTGGTTTGTTTTTAGAACATTTTTACTGTCTCTCCACACATGTGCTGGCTTGCTCACTTTGGTACATATGTCAGCATGAAAGACCAATGCTAGAAAGGGGAGGTCTGGTGAAATAAAAGGGCAGCAAATGTGAGGGATGCTTTCCAGAAGATGGACCAACATGGCAGCCTCAATGGTGGGTTCAAGTGCACCGAGACCTTGTAGACAGTACAGGACTGGGAAAGGGTCCAGGCTCAGGGTCACCCTGAAATGGAGACACCTTGACCGCAACTAGCAAGAATCACCAATCTCCCTTAAACCAAAAAGGCTTGTGCCTAACATGCAGATACTTCCTTGAAGAGGGCTATTTAGCTGAAATTTTCAACTCACTTATTATTCTAGATTATATGGTTTCTGTATCAGCAAGACTCCAACCAGGGAAATAGGAACTAAGAATTTAAGACAGGGAAACAATTATACAGTTATTTGAAGAGGCAGGAAATGAACCAAAAGACATAATAAAGATTTAATATAGTAAGAAAATATTGTGCAGGCTGAAGGGATAAAGGAAGAGATGGTCTAACTGGAATGCAGGACCAAGGTGCCAGCAGACGTTAGATTGATGTGGGCACGTCTAGCAGAGCATGTGGCCCCGAAGGAGGCGTAATTACTGCCAGAGACTGTCAAGGGGAAGATAAGAAAGAAATACCCTGATTTCTCCCTTCTCTCCACTCTGTCAATGGCCACCATGGGCTAAAACCATCTTACAGCACAGGCTACCGGGACCCTCCCAGCACTACAGGGCAGAGCAGGGGAGGCGACTAAATCCAGGGTCAGCAGTTGCATTCTGATCAATGTGTCCTGCTTGCCTGCATTTGTAGTAGCGGTCTTTTAAATGAATGTAAGTGGAACGAGTCAGGGTAAAGGGAAATGCTGAGTGAAGAGGCGAAGGCAGCTCTGGTTCCTCCACAGCCTTCTGCCTCTGCTCTTACCCTGCGCCACTGAGCAGTCTGCAGGCTGCTTCCCAAGGGTTCCTGCAGGGTGCTGATGTTCTCAGTGTTGAAGGGAAACGGCTCACTTCAGACCTATTTTTATTGGAAAGTCTTGGACATCCTGCACGCTAATCCCATGTGCCACGTACACAATGACTCCATCTTCTATCAATTTGTCAGCAGCTTCCTGGACTTCATCACTTGACTTGCCATCTGTCACCAGGATAACTATCTGAGGGCCCCGTCCCAGGCCCAGATTCTAGCTGACTCCTGACGAACTCCAGGGCGGTCCCGTGCTCATGCCTCCTGTGGGGAGGCCAGGTTCTGGGTCTGCCCAAGGCCAGGCTTTCCAGTGGGTGCTCGTTCAGTGGGGCATCTGGAGAGATGTCATTATACTGGATGAGTCCCACCTGGACTTAGTCACAGCTGATGTCAAGTCCCAAGTCAACAGAGCGAAGCAAGCTCGTTTGAGTCTGATGCTGATGGAGGTGTCTGCTAGAAACACAACATCTGTCAGGGCTGCTCCTGTGCAAACTGTGAGAGAAGGAAAGGGGCAGGGTCTGTGGATCTCCCTTCAAAACTCTTGGAACTAATGGAGCCCAGTGGAGTACAAAGCAGGTGAGCAAAGTCAGGCGGACTCTACCCAGCGGTCCTCAGGCACGTCCCTCAGGAGACAGTGAGTTAAGGGAAGTGGCACTCCCCCCTTGCCTTGCTTGGCTCTGCTCCATCATCCTCTGAGGCTCCTGTCCTATAGTGATCTTTAAGAACAATTGTAAAATAAGACACCTTCTGTTGACGCCTCCAACCTTGCAGTCCACTTGACCGATCCCCTGAGTCTCTACCACCCCCTTTTGTTACTTCCGCTTCGTCAGCAGGGACGAAGGGCATAATCATACTCACTTCTCTGTGAGAATTAAACTCAAGTGACTTAAGGACAAGAAGAAAACATCTGGGTAGAAATTTATTTTTTCCCAATATCTTCAGACCTGACAGGAACTGCCTAAACTACTTGTAGTAAAATGTGAACCTTAAATAGTTTTAGAAACTACTAGACGTTATCAGCTAGAACTTCTGAAGTAAGTTGTTAAATAAGAGATTTAGTCCTTAATTTTTTAAATTACTAGAATTTTAAGTTTTAGTTGTATTAAAATGGCTTTCATGATTTAACTCCTTTATGGTACTCTTTTGACAATTCTAGTTCTTTTTGTCTTGTTCTAATTTAGAATTTATGCATTTCTGTTATTGATGGTGGTGGTGTATGCCTTCAGGTCCAACATCACTTTTAGTGACCCTACAAGCAACAGCTCTGAGCTTTGCCTGATCCTGTGCCATCCTCACGGTCTCTGTCACGCTCAAGTCCATTGTGATAGTCACTGTGCTAATCCATCTCATTGAGGATCTTCCTCTACTTCGCTGACCCTCCCCCGTTCTCAGCAGGCTGTCTCCAAGGACTGGTACCTCCTGAAAATACGCTCAAAGTAAGTAGGACAAAGTTTCACCATCCTTGCCTCTAAGGAGCACTCTCGTTGCACTACCTGCAAGACGGATTTGTTTGTTCTTTTGGAAGACCATGATAATATATTCAGTTCTGTGCCAATACTACAATTCAAAGGCGTTTATTCCCCCTCTGCCATCCTTATTCACTGCACGACTTTCAGATGCATATGAAGCAACTGAAAATATCATGGCTCAGATCAGGAGCACCTTGGGACTTTATATCGACCGCCTTGCTCTTTAGAACTTCAGAGGGGTCCTTAGCAGCAGATTTTCCCAATTCAGCACATCTTTTGGTTTCTTGACTGCTGCTTCCAATGGTGCTGATTGTAGATTCAAGTCAAATTAAATAATTAAGAGTTTCAATATTTTCTCCATCTATTATGACATTGACTATTGGTCCAGTGACGAAGATTTTTGTTTTCCTGATGTTGACATATAGCCCATATTGAAGGCTGTAGTCTTTGAACTTCTGCAGTAAGGGTTTTGTCGTCTTCACTTTCTATGAGCAAAGTTGTATCATCCACATAATGCAAGTTTTTAATGAGTCTTCCTTCAATCCTAATGCTACACTCTTCCTCATAAAATCCAGCTTCTCAAATGATTGCTCAGCTTACAAATTGAATAGTTATTGTGAAAGGATATAGTTTAATGCACATTTTTCTTGGCTTTGAATGAGGTTTTTTCATGTTCTGTTCTGACAACTGCTTCTTTCTTGGTATATGTATAGGTTTTGCATAAGCATAATTAAGTGTTCTAGGATTCCCACTCTTCTCAATGTTATCTTTGTTATGACATACAGTCAAATGCCTTTTGCATAGTCAATAAAACACAAATAATCATTTTTTGATGTTTTCTGCTTTCATCCAAGATCCATATAATGTCATCCCTTGTGCTAAGGTCTCTTCTAAATTCAGTTTAAATTTCTGAAAGTTCCCCATCCATTTACTGGTCCAGTTATTTTTAATAATCCTCAGCATCATTTTATTTGCATGTGATATCAATGATATTTTTGGATAATTTCCGCAATCTATTGGATTACCTTTTTGAGGAATGGGAACAGACACAGATCTTTTCTAGTCAATTGGCCAGGTAGCTGCCTTCCATATTTTTGGGTAGATATTGCAATCAAGATGCATGAATAATAACTGGTGACAGGAACGGGGAAGTTGGAAACAAAGAAGATGATCTGGTGGTTGGAAAATATGGCCTTAGTGACAGAAATGGTGCTGAAGACAGAATGACAGAATCTTGTACAGTGAATCATTTATTCGTCGCAGAAGTGACGCAGACTGTGTCTTTGGGGAAAGAGCCTAGAGAAGCTCAATCAATAGCCATGGACACAAGCAGGCCAGGGACTAACTATGAAACAGATAATCAGCTACTCACATGCAAATTGAAGTTGAAGTTGAAGAAAATGAAAGCAAGTCCACCAGAACCAAACAATGGCAATGCAAGACTTTTTCTTTTACTTCTCAAAGATAAGAGTGGATTGGGGGGGGGGGGGGGGCAGGGAGAAAAGTGCAACAATGAAGAAATGGAAATCCAAAGTCCCTGTAAACTTTAATTAAAATTAATAAAAAAAATTTTTTAAATGTCAGTTGGGCCCTGACTAAGTCTCCAGTGTGGAGACTCATATGTAAAGCAGTTTGATTCTGAAGGGTAAGTTTTCTTATTTTAGTTGAAAGTCAGGTATACACTGTGTGGCTGGTTTTTATTTCATTCACATTGTGTGTGAGCTAATTGTATTTCCTGAATTTAGCTGACAATCACCTATAGGCTGGAAGTCTCTTATGTAAGTCAATCAGGACGTGGTGAGTGGGTCTTTGTATTTACAAGCTGATTTGGCCCAACATCCAGGTGTTAATTATGTTTGGGAAGAACATTCTTATACGTGGTACTGCACTGGTCTGTCAGTTTGCTGTACTGAGGTAACTTGGGATTGCTGTAATGCTGAACACTGTGCCACTGGTGTGTCAAATGTCATAATGGTTACCCATGGTGGACAGTGTTTGGTAGAGCTCCCAGGTTAAGACAGGCTTGGAAACCAGAATTGGCATCCACTTCCTAAGCAATATGCCTTTGGAAACTTTATAAAAATTAGAGAAATGATGATAGTTATAGAATAGGGTTCAGATCTTTTGTTAATAGAGTCGCAATGAGTCGTGCTCAAACCAGTGGTATTTAACAACTTCTACTCCCTACCCAGGCTATAGGATAATAAGTCAGTGTGGGAATAATATCGTTTGATAAACAGATAATCCTTTCTTCAAAGATTGATTTGCATGAAATCATTTTACAGCTGTATAGGGAGAATTTATAAGAGTTTAGTTAGTGACTGTAGATGTGCAGAAGTACAGACGGCTCAACAACATTTTTGTTTTAAGCTTAAACTTGCAATATTAAGTATACCCAAGCAATCAAGTTGCCTGGCCACGTCCACTCTCAGCTCTGAGAAATAAGACAGTGAGGACAAATTAGGCTTATAAAGCTTTGAGCTCTGTGCCTTCTGGATCAAAAAGAAAGAAAGAAAGCTTTTGTACCTGGAGCAACGTGGTCGACAGGCAGGGCTGCTTTTGCCAGCCTCTCACAGAGCCCCTGACGAAGCCTCTGGACAAGTCTGCTCAGACCAGAGAAGTTGGAGGCCAAGGTGGTGAATTTGTCCTCAGGGATGCTGGCCATCTCCCTGAGCTCTGCCCAAGGCACAGGTTTGATGCCAACAGCATAAAGCAGGATGCCTTCCCTCCTCAGGTCCTCTGCAGGTTCATGGACACTGTCCTTGGCTGGGCCGCTGCTGATCACCATGGCGACTGAGGTACCCTTTGACTGGCTGGCTCAGCTGCCTGCTTCCACCCTGAAGTGGTGATCTAGCAGGAAGTGCAGGGCCAGGCCCGTTCTCCTGTCCCCAGGCTTGAACGGCAGTTTCTGGAGGTGTCTCAGCACCTTGTTTTTGTGGTGGTAGGTGGACAGCAGGAAAACAGAGCTGGGGGAGCTGCTGTACTGGGCCAGACCCACACGGATGGTCTCTCTGCCAACTTTGAAGCTGTTCACCAGTGTGTACAGGAAGCTCCGCATGCTGCGGACATGTTTGGGGCTTATGTTGCTGTCCACCAGAAACACGACATCTCCCACAGAAGCCTCCCTGCAAACTGGGGAAGAGAGACACCTTAACGGGACATGTGAAAGAATTAATATCTCTAAGCTGGGATATGGCTCTCCCAACTCAGCACCTTTGTGTCGCTCAGATCTGTGTGCACAGCTCCCTGAAGGTCTCCAGCATGGAGCTGGTCCAGGCATGCCATCCTCTTCCTTTGCTTTCTTGCACCCAGCATCCATGCTTGCTTATCTGGCACCTTCTGTACCATCGAAATGTACATTTGACCCTTGTAGTTAGGTCCTTGATCCTGACCTTCACACTCACCTCATGAACTTAAGGAAAGAACCAGCTTTCCACTAGTAATAGATGTTGTGAGTTGTCAAAACCTAGATCCCCTTGCTCAGCTGACACACGCATCCTTGGCTGCTGCAAGTGCTCCAGCTAACTGTGGCTTTCTAAGAGACTTTGGTTGAAGGCAGTGGCCTCATCTGGAACCATCTGGGAACTTCGGCCACCCTGGACAGCCTGGGCCTGATGGACTCCTGTCTTCCCTTGCCTTGATTGAGATAACACTATGGTGCTAGTGTTGATCCAGAGTCATCCAAGACAGGCCAAGGCTTGAGTCTGCCTGAGGCCACACTAGGCTCAGTTTCTTCCTCTGCTCTGTATTTTACTTTCCTCACTTCCTTGTGGGTTTGTCCTCACACACATCCCTTCAAAGTAAAATGTGAATTCCAGGTAGAGAACATGGCTTTGACCTTTGCACTTCCTGGCAACCACCAGCCCCTTTTAATTTGGCTTTGTTGTTGTTGTTGTTGTTGTTGTTTATAGGCCTGCAGGGTTGACTCACCAAATTCTGTGACATGGCCTCCAGGAAATGGAAGATGCAAAAAAGATTTCCCGAGCCATCTGATAGCACAACCTACCTTGCCGTCTGATGACACAACCTACCTCACTCACAATAGCCAGTTCCCACCTGACAGTGTCAGCAGCAAGGGCCAGCAGCTGCAGCCAATCATCAAGCTACACGACCAATTCCTCTGCCATGTGACGTCCCCTTCCCACCCAGTCATTAAAAGCTGGTTCACCTTCATACCATATGCGACTTCTCTGCCCTTCTTACCCCTCTCTGGCCCAGGACAATGAATCTTGCCCAAAAGCCCCCAATAAATTCTTTTTTGCTTACTTTCAGTTTCCATGCCTGTTTTACATAACAGTTATGTGCCATTCAGTCAACTGACTTGTAGCAACCCTGTGAACAATGGAGCTGAAACTTGGCCTATCTCATGCCATCCTCACCATCTCTTTGGCCAGTCTCTGAATTGTGACTTGAACTTGTCTTCTCATTCCCTGAATTCAAGGCTGCAGCTGCTTCTCCCCCAAGCTTCCTCTCATGCTAGAGATCGTCTGCCTGCGGAACTACACCTGCTGGTCCCCATCAAGCCCAGCCCGGCCTCAGGCACTGAAATGATCAGACAACAGCTGGGCCAGGGCTTGAGTCAACAGCCTAATCCCTCAGCTTCTCAGACTGTTTCTCTCTAGAATGAGGGTTTGGTCTCATGTTTTCCCACCGGTGTTTTCCCACTCAGAATTTATTACAAAAGGTAGATTAAGCATTGTGGTGTGTGAAAAAAAATTATTTGTGACTTATGTGTATATGAGCAGCCACCATAATTTCTCTCTCTTCATACCTCCCTGTTTTACCATCTGTGATAATGGATTGTTGCCGTTAGGTGCTGTTGAGTTAACCATGAATCACTACAATCCTACCAACAACAGATCTGAACCCTGCCCTCTCCTGCACCATCCCCATCATCTCCACCACACTTAATTCAAACCCACTGAGGTAGTCACTGTGTCAGTCACCTCACTGAGGTGTCTCTCTCCAAGAACAGTTTCCTTCTGAAAATGTGCTGTTGTATTTTCAAGGATAGAACTCAGTGGTTGCTTTAGAAATGACTGGCAAGTTTGTCCTGAACAGAGCTTTCAGGAGTGATCACATGCAGACCACCGACTGTTTCAGGAAAGTGTGTCTCCCAACCACCAGGAGAAAGCTCACAGTCAGAGGAAACTCTCCAGGCTCTTACGGATGTTTCTGGCATATGCCACTCGAGAGATGAGTTAGATGGATTACATTTGCATATGCTGCCCCTTCCTTTACCACTCCACTCACTCTTTGTCATTTTTGAAAGCGTTTAAAACATGAAAAGACTGCCTCTCACAGCTTCTGCTCACAAGGTCAGAGCCGAGAGCAAAGTTCAGAGAGCTTCATGTTTCTCTGCCAACAAACAACAGGCTGTGTAATGATATTTGAACATTTAGACATCACTGTTGTCTCCATGAACTCCAGGCTTGTCAATTTTCTCTTGATGGATCTTTCCTCCAGAAAATCCCAACCATCTGTTTAAATGACTGTCCCAAAAAATTACAGAACTGTCACTAACACTCATTGAAGCACTCCATCTTGTGGTGACAATTAAGTAGGTGAGGTAAAAGATAGAATTAAGAGAACATATCCACAAAGGCTTTGAGAGTCTGGTACAACATTCAGAGGCAAAGAGGTTTTATTCTCTGCTTTTTGTCATTTGAAGTCATTTCTAGCTGTTGTTACATAGGCTCCCAACTCATGGGAACCTTATATTTTCAGAGGAGAGCTGTTCTATAGGGTTTGACATAGTGTGTTATATATTGGACTGCTAACAAAAAGGTCAGCAGTTCAAATCCATCAGCTGCATTGAGAAAGAAAGATGGAAGTCTTCTCCTATAACTATCGTCAGAAACCTGATGGAGGGTTAACTGTGGGTTAGAATCAACTCTACAGCCATGGTTTTTCCTTTGGTTTTGGGATCCAATGAAGGGGTACAGACTGCCAATCTGTTTGGGTGCTGGCCATCCTAAACCATTCACACCACTCAGACTCCTGGTTCATCTAGGGTTAAGCTTTGAAAATTAAAAAATCAAGTGTCTACCATTTTTTAACATCTTCCAGATTCTTGTTTAATTCTCCTTAAAATAATCATTTCCCTTTTGTCAATTATGATGTTTATATATTCTCTTTCAAGATTGTTGGTATAATAGGTTCCTGCTGAGGTTATCCTTTGGGGCTTACCCAGCTTCTGTGACTCGATGAAGTAAAAACTAGTAGCCAGGAAAATGATTCTCCAAAATGTATTCCACGGCTCCATTCTAGATGTGTACCTATGGGGAAAACAAAGACACCTCACTGTTAAAAAGTTAATTCTTATGCCCCAAAAATAAAGGAGCTCTGGTGGCCTAGAGGCATAGATCTGTACTGTCAGCCCAAAGGCAGGTGATTCAAATCCACCAATTGTTCCTCTGGAGAAAGAATGGGCATCGCATCCCATGTGGTTTACAGCTGGAACGTCAGCTGTGAGTTGATTCTGACTCAATTTCACATAATACTAACAACAACCCTTAAAGTGGATTAGTTGGATTACATATTCATTAATAATACCTTAACTAGTATATCAATTATTTATACCTTATAAAATTTACTATGGGGAAAAATATTCTCTTCCTAGACTAGTCAAGCTTTTCAAAAAAGAGAAAGAAATGTGGCCATGTTCTTTCAAATAGGTGTGGTCTTGCTGACCCAAGTCAGGGAAAACTTTGTAAACATCGAGAACGCATGCACCCCCTTCACTGTTTAAAACTATCCAGATATGGTCATAAAAGAAAAAAATACATAGGCCATAGGTTAGAACTTCCTTTTCACATGCTGAACTCATTTGGTGGAACATAAACATTTCTGCATGACTTTCTTGTCTATTTTATACAAGAGTAGGGTGACCCAATAAACATTTATGACTGCATGCAAAACTACTCAAAAATTCAAGAGCACATCTGCCTGATAAAAACCTGTCTAGTCTGAAAACATTTTAAGTGTTTCCAGAAGGCACAGAATATTGGACTATTTCCTTTTCAACCTATGTCCATTTTTTTTTATGGTGAGAAAAATTTATTACATTTAGAATTAGCCCACTGGACTCAGTTTAGATGATCCCAATTTTGTTGGCAACATCCAAAGCATCATAATCAGGAGCAAGTCGAACATAGGCCTTCTTCTCTCCATCAGGCCTAATCAAAGTGTTGACCTTGGCCACATCAGTGTCAT